CTCCATCAGAAAGAATGACATTGCCCCATTTGTTAGGAAATGGAAAGACTTGGGAAAAAATTATATTAAGTGAAGTAAGCCAGGCCCAAAGAAACATAGGTTCCACGTTTAATATTTTCTACCTCTAGCAGGGCGCCGGTGGCTCACGCCTATAATCCTAGCTACTCAGGAGGCTGAGATCTGAGGATCTCATTTCAAAGCCAGCCTGGGCAGGAAAATCCGTGAAACTCTTATCTCCAATAAACCACCAGAAAACCGCAAGTGGCGCTGTAGCTCAAGTGGTTGAGCACTAGCCTTGAGTTGAGAACTGAGGGACAGCGTTCAGGCCCATAGTTAAGCCCTATGAACGAAAAAAAAATTTTTTTTTCTACCTCTAACTTACACATTCTAACCTCAAATACAGTTTCTTCACATAACTACAATAGTTAGTGAAAAGCAAAGTTGCGTATAGATACATGATCAGTTCTCTGACCTTCACAGATACCTCTTCATATGTTACAATAAGTTGATAGCTTAAAAATGTCACAAAATACTGAATACTTACTTTGCTTGAGAAGGAACACAAGTCATTCCTTTCGACAAGGTTTTTAGCTTTAAAATATTAGTAAGGTTGTGTCATATTTCACTTACCTGTGTCTTTGTGAACATTTCTTCTAACATCTTTAAATTTACAACCTATAAGCAGTAATAAGGCAAGCAAAAAAAGTCAGTTTTTGGTCATATAAATGCAAATAGTTATTTTAGAAAATCATTCCATATGATCATTTGTATATTCCAATTCCAGTTTTGGATTTAATTTTAACTTACTACCTTTTTTTTTTTCCTGGTTGTAGGGTTTGAACTCAGAAGCCGGACCCTGTCCCTGAGTCTCTTTGTGCTCAAGGCTTGTGCTCTACCAATTGACCACAGCTCCACTTCCAGTTTTTGAGTGGCTAATTGGAGACAGTCTTCCAGGGACTTTTCTACCCAGGCTGGCTATGAACCTCGATCCTTAGATCTCAGCCTCCTGACTAAATAGGATTACAGGTATATGCCATCAGTGCCCTGCTTCTTAGATTCTTAAATAGGGATTCATAGATTGCAGCTGAAGCAGTTCCTGATCTAAATTTCTTTATTCTGTTACTGGTTGGAATCCTCAGCCTCATCCATACTCCAGAGTTTACGTTCTATTAATATGAGGATACTAAGAAATTAGAAATGTAGAGCTCTGAATACTACAGATATGGAAGGGCAGAAAAGTGGATCTATGATCCTTTGTCTATAACCTACCATGAAGGCTTCTAAAAATCACTGCCCAGTGCTGGTCTATGACAGTCTCTTATTGCTTGGTGATGTGGTAGCTAGCAAAAAAACCCCCAAAAAACAAAAAAACAAAAAACCCCTCCAAACTATCCTAAGTACATTAATAGGAAGCCAAATGTAGTGTTACTTACCTGGAAGAGCACATAAACCGAGAAACTGAGAACAATTTATTTGTGATAGAGGTAGCCTGAAAAGAAAAGTTTATCAAGTTCAGTTCCGTTTTTTAAAAGTCATAAATGGAAATTCAACTTAATACATATGAGGGCTTGCCATTGGATAGGCATGTTTTAAATGCAAGTTTTATAGAAGCCACAAAACAAAAATACAGAGTTAATATCAAAAGGTGAGGCATAAAATAGCCTAGAAAGGCTGGAAGTTTTCAAACAGGGACTTACTTGATTAAAATGGCAGGTTAATTTAAATTCACCTTAAGGACAGCAATGCCTGGACTGCTAGTAGTATCCAGTGTACCTAAGTTACCCTCTGGTATTTTGTACCCTGAGCCAGTGTGTTTTGCAGGCTGAGTAACTTTTCTGAAAAGCTCCAGGACCACATGTAATCTCAGATTTCAGAGGTTTTAAATTTTGGAATATTTCCATAGAATTTACCAGTTGAGCCTCCCTAATCTGAGTATCCAAAATCCAAAATGCTCTAAAATCTATAACCTTTTGAGTGCCTACATGAATTTTAAGAGTATTTCAGATTTCAAGTTAGGATGTTCACAGTAATCTTAGGTCAATGAGTTAAAAATGTCCATCTGACAATTCCATCCTTAATGTTCATTTTTACATTACTATTTTAAGATTTTTTTGTATCAGTACCTTAGCAGATAATTTTTTGGTTGGTTGTGGGGCTTGAACTCAGGGCCAGGGCACTGTCCCGGAGCTTCTTTTGCTCAAGACTAGCACCCTGCCACTGGAGCCACAGTGCTACTTTTGGCTTTTTCTGTGGTAGTAAGGAATGGAATCCTGGGCTTCATGCATGTTAGGCAAACACTCTCCCACTAAGCCTCATTCCCAGCCCTTAGCAGATAATTTTATATCATGAAAAACATAGGCCACCCATTTCTTGTCATTGATTTTGATCTAATGACATAATTCCAAGAAATCACAATCCCAGTTTGCAGATTTCAGGGACAGAGGCTCACCTTGTTGGCAAGTCAGCAGATGAATTTAGAGGAAAACAAGAGACATCATTTAACTACCATCTGCCATCAAAATTAGTTGGGTTTCTGAGCTTAAAAGGTGGCATCAAGCCAGGCACTGGTGGCAGACGCCTGTAATCCTAGCTATTCAGAAGGCTTAGATTGGAGGATTATGGTTCAAAGACAGGGCGGGAAAGTCCATGAGACTCTCATCTCCAATTCAGCACCAGAAAACTGGAAGTGGAGCTGTGGCTCAAGGTGGCAGAGTGCTACCCTTGAGTGGAAGAGCTCAGGTACAGCACCCAGGCCCTGAGTTCAAGCCCCATAACTGGAGGGAAAATAATGGTGGCTTCAAGGAGAAAAAGAAAAGTAATTATACTTCGATGACAAAATAAAGGAACATTAGAGACTGATACTCAGTACTCCTTTTCCCTTCCAGTAGGGGACAGTGCTTTCCTGAGGAGAGAAATATTTGACTGCGAGTTCCAGAGAATCTGACAAAACCATAAGCCATTGGATATGACTTAGTAGTTGATTTTCTATAGATGCACTTGATTAATTATATGCACTTGATTGATATAATTATCAATGTGCTTTATTTTTGTTTTTGTTTTTTTGCTAGTTCTGGGGATTGAACTCAAGTTTTGGGTACTGTCCCGAGCTTTTTTGTTGTTGTTCAAGGCTAGCACTCTTACCACTTGAGCCACAGCACCACTTCCGGCTTTTTCTGTTTATGTGGTACTGAGGAATGGAACCCAAGGTTTCATGCCTGCTAGGCAAGCACTCTACCACTAAGCCACATTCCCAGCCCAATGTGGATTTTATCTTAAATAGTCTGCCAACAGATGCAGTTCTATGACATATAATTCCAAGCATTATCTAGAATTAACAATGATAAATGATAGGCTATTTCTTTTCTTTTTTTGTCGGTCATGGGGCTTGAACTCTGGGTCTAGGCGCTGTCCCTCAGCTCTTCAGCTCAAGGCAAGTGCTCTACCACTTGAGCCACAGTGCCATTTCCGATTTTCTGAGTGGTTTATTGGAGATAAGATTCTCATGGATTTTCCTGCTTGCACTGGCTTTGAACCAAGATCCTCAGATCTCAGCCTCCCGAGTAGCTAGGATTACAGGTGTGCGCCAGGGGCACCTGGCACACTATTTCTTTTGTCTTAAAAGACATAAACAGAAAAAGCCAGAAGTGGCTTTGTGGCTCAAGTGATAAGAATGCTAGCCTTGAGCAAAACAAGAAGCTCAGGATGGACTGGCATAAAGAGAGAGAAAGAGAGATTATAAGTGCTTACATACCAAGAAATCTGAATTGGAGTCTGTTCATCTTCACCAGGCTCTTCATCTGAGGAGTCAAATTCACTTGCTTGTATTGAAATAGGCTTCAAAAGAAGAAGTTAACTTATGTTTACACAGTTTTAGCATAGGCAGTCCTAGCTTAAAGACTTGTTTATCCTGGATCTCATTTTTTCTCAGGTATAAAGGGAAAGAATTTGTTGATTCATTCACAAACTTTTCTTGAACACCTTCATCTGCCACACCCTGGAACTGCAACCATCCGTAAGCATGCAGCTTGCCTCCAGGGAATAGGAGGGAGAGGACGTGAATGTGAACTGCAGGAGAAAGGTTTAAACTAGAGTAGAAACCATGTGATGTACAGCCCAGAAGGAAATGACTACTTAGGGAGCTGCAGGTTTCACAGAGATGGTTAAACTGGTTTGAAAGAAGAGTGGGTTGTTTCTAGGCAAAGGGGAAGATGATGATTAAGAAAATTCAGACAAAGGGCTTTTTTTTATCAGGAACTGTGATATCAAAATAAAAGGGTCAGCCAGGTGCCAGTGGCTCACGCCTGTAATTCTAGCTACTCAGGAGGCTGAGATCTGAGGATCTCGGTTCAAAGCCAGCCTGGGCAGGAAAGTTGGTGAAACTCATCTCCAATGAACCACCAGAAAATCGGAAGTGGTGCTGTGGCTAACTTGGTAGAGTGCTGGCCTTGAGCTGAAGAGCTAAGGGAAAGCACCCAAGCCCAGAGTTCAAGCCCCATGACTGACCAAACAAATAAATAAAAGGGGCATGGTTTCTCAAAAGAAATCCCCCATAGAACCTAGTAGCTTGGTGCTGGGGAGAGTACAGGTAAACTAGCCTATTTCCAACTTTATGAATCACTAAACTAGAAAAATGGAAAACAATGGAGATGGCCCTTGCAGGCTGATTAAAGCTGAGCTCAATCCTAGAGGTGGCAATTCTCTATGAAAGACTTCTATATCCCCTGTTGGAATAAGTTAATTTTTTTGTGCCAATACATAGGCTTGAAGTCAGGGTTTGGGGTGCTGTCCCTCAGCCTTTTTGCTCAAGGCTGGTGTTCTACCACTTCTGACTGGAGATAAGAGTTTCACAGACTTTCCTGCCTAGGATGGCTTTGAACTGCGATCCTCAGATCACAGCCTCTTGAGTAGCTAAAATGACAAGTATGAGCCTCCAACACCTAGCTCCCTGTTGGAATTTTAATGGATTAAAAAGAAAGTTCCTACTCCCTGTTGTCAGAAACTGAGAAATCAGACTTTGGAATGGATGCAAAAGTTGGTGTTATTGAGTTTAAAATGCAGTTCTGCGGGCCGCTGGTGGCTCACCCCTTTAATCCTAGCTACTCCAAAGGCTGAGATCTGAGGATCGCAGTTCAAAGCCAGCCCAGGGCAAGTCCCTGAGACTCTTATCTTCAATAAAACACTCAGAAAACCAGAAGTGGCGCTGTGGCTCAAGTGGTAGAGTGCTAGCCTTGAGCTGAAGAGCTGAGGGACAG